TGAACAATTCCTCCAATTACCCTCATATATATATATATAATTATTTATTTAAAAATTATAACATAAATATGTTATAAAATCATTACAAAAATAGCCATTTTGTTTCAACACCTCTGGTATCTTATCAAGTGATGATGATGAATGGCCATTTTTGTAGTGATTTTATAACATATTTATGTTATAATTTTTAAATAAATAATTATATCTACTCTACTCTGTATTGAGCACTCTTTTAAGAATAGTAATTGTTGGTTTTTGGAATTTATTCTGTATACACCAATCATATACTTGTGTGTGTATATATATATATATATATATATATATATATATATATATATATATATATAAAATATTAGGCAGCATATAATTTATATACAAAGAAATAATCACGCATAGAATTAATCAGCAATATTAATGCTATTATTGGCGATATCCATCGCTAGTAGTATAATGTATGCATTAAAATACTGTTAATCCATAGAATGATGTGATTCTCATCTATAGAACTGCTGTCTGTTGTTTCCAGTTTATATTTTTTTAAAATGCTAGTACTTTCGAATAATCCTTTATTCATCGTCAGGCATATCTTTTCCTTATAAAATCAAAAACTTGGAGGCAAAATAATTGTAGACCGAAATAAATTTCTTTTTATATATATATATATATATATATATATACACAAGATGATTGAAAAGTAACTCCCCATTTTACAATACTTATTATTTATTTATTACTCATAATTTTTACAAGAAATGGGTATGAGAGGAAAGCGTTTAACATGAGGTTTTATTTAAAATTCAATATGGGCACCAGATTTCCCTACCAGCTTCATGAGCCAACCAGGAATTGTGTCAACTAATTTCACCAGGAACTCTTGTGGTATGGAAGGCATAACTTGTTGTATTCACCCTTCAAGTTAGTTTGATATAGTAGACTTTCTCTTTTAACCAACCCTAAAGAAAAAAGTCACAGTGTGTCAGGACTGCTGGCTGGCTACTCATACATAAAATAGGGAGTTACTTTTCAATCACCATATATATATATATAAATATATATGAAGAAATATAGTCTTAAGGTGTGCTATATTTATGGGATAAAGTGCTCAATATCAGGGATAGAGAGCATGTGTAAATATAAAAGTGAACATAGAAGTCAACACTTAGAGGCGGCAGTCTGTTTCATGCTATATGCAATCGTCAGGCCTGAGTGTTGACTTCTATGTTCACTTTTATATTTATATTATATATATATATATATATATATATATATATTAAACATTTCTCTCTAAGCAAGCTGATAATGGCACTAGGATGCAGGGGGTTACAAGGAGTGAAATAATGAGAAGACTTCAGTGAGTTAAAGAACAATAAAGGCTTTAGGATAACAGAAAATAGCAACTAGCGTTGAGCTTAAATTTTTTAAAATTATAGGTCGCAGGGTAGCAACAAATGGGAAGAGAGTTTCACAGGTGAGAAGTGTGAGAAAATAAAGTTTTAAAATAGAAGTGACAGTTGCATTGAGCTCGTTCAACAGTAAAATGGTGAGGCTTAGTTGCCAATCTAGTATCCTGCTTAAATTCATGCAGTCAAGGCACTAAGGAGAAAAGCTGATTAGAACACCTGCCATGAACCTTGTTTCCTTGATAACTACAATCTTCAGTATTTTAAATGCAATGTAAATATATGTCAGTGTATATGTGTGCTCACACACACACACAATATGCTGAAATATGACATGGCCTGCATTCAAACATGTTGACCTCATTTACATACACTCTATCCCTAATATTGAGCCTTTTTACCCATAAATATTTCATACCTTAAAACTATATGCATTATATATATATATATATATAACTCCAACCCCAGACTGTTTCCTCTGGAATAAGATAACTTACACGCCTCCACCACCAGTCACTAACACAAGCCCATTCTCAAGTCATCTACCAGAGGAGGACTAACATTGAAAATAAATTTAAAACAATGCTCCATGACAGACACTTAGGGGCTGATGATAGCCACATACAGAACAGCTTGAAATAGAATATTCCCATGTTGAGGTAATTTTTTGTTTTTTTCTTGTAATATATATATATATATATATATATATATATAAGTCTTTCCTAATCGTTAGGCAGTTGTTAAAGGCTGCTCATCAAAGACCTGAGCAATCAATGCAGGTGTCTCCCAATGTCCACTTCTTAGTTCAACCCTCTTCCTGCTTTATATAAATGATCTATGAGTATACTCTGATCATTTGTGAATATCTATGCTGATTATACAAAGAGGTATATAAGTGCACCTTCAAAACTCTAGATGACCAGAGTTTGGAAGATGATCACTCTTCTGGCCTAGCTCTAACAGCTCAGTGGGAACAAAAACTGGCTGGTCACATTCAATGCATCAAAAAGCAAACTACTGACATTCTATCATCATCAATCAGACTTTGACCAATCACTGATGTTCCCCCAGCAAGGCCTCATGCTTTCAGCACCTATTGGGACTTAAACTTAACCTAAACCTCAAGTGGAACTTGTTCATACAATCCATTTTTTAAGCTGATGAAAAAATTGTCAGTCCCCTGTCTGGCTTCAGTAAATACATGACTCTTTCTGCTATCATCTACATTTACAAGGGCCAGATCAGACCAAAAATGCAGAACTGTTGCCATATATAAGCACGAGCTGCTCAGTCTTCACTTTCCAGTTTCGATAGAGTCTAAAAGCACCTTCACATCTTTGTGAGTGACAGATTATTTCCCACTTTACCATTCCTTCCTTTCTTAGAGATGAAATGTCACCAGCCTTTCACTGCTCTATCACTGTTTCCATGAAAAGTGCTCAGATGAGCTATATTTCTTCATTCCACTAGTTGAACCTTCACAGGCCTGCCACACCATGCACAATGTAGTGAACCACTGTGCCTCCTATATATATATATATATATATATATAACTATTCTTTGTAGATTTTATATTGTCACAGTGTGGAATAGTAAGGGAAAAGTGATGGAGAGAAAAAAAAAGAATACAGATGAATTTGGCTCGATTGAAACAAAAAAAAATATTCTTTAAAATATCTTCTTTCAAATAATTTTGAAACTACATGCTTCTCTTGTTTCATGCACATGTGTAGACATGGTAACATCAACAAAGCTAAGAAATTTTCCAGTTTGTCATATTTTTATATCTATATATATATATATATATATATATATATATGCACATCCATACAAGGTGCTTAGGATAAACTGTTAAATTACACAAAAATGGAAATAACACTGACAACAGGACTCTGCACCATGCCACATAAGCAGGAGAACCCTGTTATAGCTGCAACCACATCACCCCTTACCTCCGGCTACCTAACTCCCCAGAGTGCCACCCCATTGATTATTATATGTGGGGAGCAGTTGAGTGAGACACCAACAAAACTGCTTGTAAAACCAAAGATGAACTGAAGGCAAGGATTATTGCAGCATTCACCAACTTAAACAAGGAGGTCATCCAGAAGATTTGCAAGAGGCTGTGATTGAAGCCAATGGCGATTTTATTGAATAAATTTACTCTTTAGTATTTCAAGATATTTTTGTGTAATTTTGGTAAATATATCTGTTAAAATGAGATGTCAGTGTTATTTTTTGCATAATTTAAACAACAGTTTATCCATCACACCCTCTAGAACAGAACCTGCTGACCTTAAAATTGATTGTATTTTGGTGGGTACAATACTGTTATTGAAAATGTATGGAAGGAACAAGGGACAAATTTATTAAACTTAGTAAATCTAGGGGAAATATTGGTCATGAAAATGTGAAATGGTCACATGTTTGAGACCCTGCCATGCATTTACATAAGCTCATTAAATAGGTTGTACACTGTTTCCCTTTAGTATGTCCTGTAAGCATTAAATTCTCTGAGCTCTCTTTTTTCATTATGTGCCCAGAAATTTTAACTCTCATTCTGATTGTAAGTATAAGATTAATAAAAATCAGCAATAATATAGAGGAAGAAAAGTAGTAAAATGTTAATGATGATATCACTTGATCAATAGCAGTGGCCATCAAAAAAATATAAAATAAAGAAAGCAGTTTTTATAGCTATAGTTGTCATTTAGATTTCTTACATCATTTGTATACCAGCTGTTCCTAAACTTCATGAAGATATGTCTTCCATTAGAATTTTGGCTGCGTTGCCTTCTATTTTCCAGCCAATTATGCAAACGTCACAAAGGAGCTCTAAAATATACCAATATTTCTTTTAGTAATTACTTTCTTTTTCATTAAAATTTACAGAATGAAGATAACTTTTAATTCAAATGGGAAAACAGTCTATATTGACTCTATTTTTGGCTTCATGAAAGATAAGATCTTTTAAGAACGTTTTTCCCTAACTGCTGCCAATTCTGCCATTTATCTAATTCGTCTAATTCCAACACACTCATTTTTTTTTTCAAGCAACTAGATTGCCTGGAATTTGTTCCTGTTTCTTTTAACTTCAAAGAAGAAATTTTGGAAGAATTATATCCGGAGAAGACAAACAACGTGTCAATAATTAAAATAGTGTCAAAACTATATATTTATCTGTGTGGAAGGTCCTACCTAAAAGTTTGTAACAGATAAGGCCCAAAATGAGTTTGCTAAAGAGAGAATAAATATTTGCAAGTTAAATGAGCTTCTTTATTTCAAGGTGGAGTAATTTCACAAGAAGTCTTAAATGTCCGATCAAACATAGAGGAAAATGCAGGATAACTTGTATGACAAGCCACTTATATCCAATATGCCTGCCTGCTAAGGTGGCTAGCTCATTCCTGTTGCAGACATATTTCACATGTTTGTTCCACATGGTCAAAGCCAACCTGTGGTTTATACTGAAACTATTCTATGCAGAGTTTCTGGTAGAGAGTGCATAATTTGGTATAATCACCAGTTTGAACAGAGCCAGTACTCTCAAACCTTCAATCACAATGACTTTGTGCTAGCAAAGCTTATGGGTACATCATGTTGAAATACCAATTCCCATATGATCCCTGAAGTTAAGCAATGTTAAGCCTGGTTAGTACCTACATGGGTGACCACTTGGGAAAACCAGGCGCCATAAGCTTCGATGTGTGGTTGTGAAATGAATAATGAGCAGCAATACATTTTTGGAAAAACATATTACTAATAATATATGTGAGACTCAACAAAAACACTATTTACAAAAATATGTCAATGAACCTGATCTACAAACTGATTTCTTGCAAAGAATACATATTTTATTCATACAAACCTATCCTAAAAATCTTATCAGCATTGAGGTGTTGATATGCCATAAAAAAAATAAACCAACCCAAAGCTGCTGCAACTTGAGATTATTTCCACAAACTGATATTATCAAGAACTCATCTCCTTGACAAATTGACTACGGTAAGATTTGAACTGGGGCTTCAGAATATGTTCACTGCACCTCTGCAGAAGAGTAAGAAACACTCAATGAGGTGTTCTGGGTATGACTATAAACTACATTGGGCAGCAAAGCCTTAGATCAGGAAGTTTTGAGGAGCATGAAACCACCTCTTAATTTCTGTTCTTCCCAGGTCCACCCTTACCCGGGGGTGGTAGCACCTGTTAGGGTCCCAGTTATGGATAAATAGTTAACCACCAAACTGGTGTCAAAACACTATGAAAGTGTAAAAATAGTCTTTTATAGTATGAATACAAGCAATACATTTTTTAAAAAAAATATTACCAGCAATGAATTTTTGGTAAAAAATATTACAAGCAATACATTCAAGCCTCAACAAAAACCCTCTTTGCAAAAATATGTCAATGAAACTTTATAAACAAACTGATTTCTTACAAAGAATACATATTCTATTCATTTGTCATATCCTAAAAATCCTATCGGCATTAAATAACCCACTGAAGTCTTGATATGCCGTAAAACAAAATAAACCAAATCAAACCAAACCCAATGGTGCTGCACCCAGAGATTATCATCACAGGCTGATATTATCAAGAAGTCATCTCCTTGACAAATTGACTACAGTAAGATTTGAACCATGACTTCATGGTCAGAACACTTACATTCTAACCACTCTGCCATGTGCCAACTTGACAAATGAAGAAATTACCTGATCAGTTACCTTTAAAAGGTAATTTCTAAAGATATTATATTGAAGAAAAAGAGCTTTGAATGAAAAATAACACATCTGAAAATAACAATTGTAACCAGTTTTAACATGCCAAACAACATAGAAAATATCTCCCTCAGTATCTGTCTATATTTCTGAGATGAAGTATTATGTACACTATTTACATTGTTCGGACTATTGTCCTCATCTTTGTTACCATATTTATTACAATGTTTTGGCCATTGTACACTCCAGCCTTCTTCAGGTGGTTGGAATGTCAAACTGAACCCTTTATTTCACTCACTGTAAACTGTTCTAGTTCCACGTGCCATGTCTAATGGATGTCAGTTATCTTTTGTTAATTCCCCTTTGCAAGTTCTCCACTATCTTAACCGGACATTGAACTCACACCCTTTGGGTCCTGTCACTGGATCTAACCAACGCCTTCATCCACAATAAATGTCTTTATCCACTGTGCCATGTGTCCTTGAGGTATTTCCTTCCTAACCTTTTATTTGAAGTAATGTAGAATGTCAATATAAGTCATTATTTTCTCATCACCTTGAGGACACATGACACAGTGGATAAAGGTGTTGGTTAGATCCAGTGACAGGATCCAAAGAGTGTGAGTTCAATACCTGTTTAAGGCAGTGGAGAACTTGGAGAGGGGAATTAACAGAAGATAACAGATAACTGACATCCATTAAACATGGCACGTAGAACTAGAACAGTCTACCCCAGTGAGCAAAATAAAGGGTTCAGTTCGATATTCCAACCACCTGAAGAAGGTCGGAGTGTACAATGTTCAAAACGTAATAAATATGGCGACAAAGATGAGGACAATAGTCCGAATAATGTAAATAGTGAAAATATCTCCCTTATTTCTTCTTTGTATTTACCAAGAGAGACCCTTTATTTCCAAAACATAAAATATTTGGAAAAATGGTGAGTGTACTGAGTTACTAGCTTAATCCTGGATAGATGTGGCTCTATTTCTCTTCATTAGAACTCTATCTCTTCTCTGATAAATAAATAGTTTCTTTTTCTTAATTTAGACTTCCACTCATAACTAAACAATAAGTGGCTTTATTGGGTTACACGTTTAACCCTGAATGGGTGTGGTTCTGTCTCTTTGCATGGGATCTTCTTTCCTCTCTTGTCTGATAAATTAATAAGGTTCCCTTAACTTAATTTATTAGTCTTAATTTAGCCTTCCACAGTTAACTAATCAGTATGTTGGTATATTAGGTTACAAGCTTAAGTCTGTGTGGATATGTCTCTCTCTATGGAAACCCCATTTATTTACTGAAATAAATAGGGTCCACTTACCTTAATCTATCAGTCTTAATTTAGCCTAAGACTAATCAGAATCAGTGGTAAGAAAACAGTTTCCAAGATTATCTGATACTTAAACTTGTAAACACTTATTAAAGCTCAATTCCTGAGACCAGCACTTCTCCATTGCACGAAGAGTGTTAAGGTCAGATGTACACTTCAATTTCTCCAGTAATAGCCAAGGAAAATGAACTATTTAATGAACTACTAAAACTAAAAAAAGAAAAAAAAAACAATCTTGGTTAGTATGACATATCAGGAGGCTATGTGGATCATGGTAGACTAAAAAGTGATCATTTGGCAAATTTACCATTTTGAAGTGGCAATAATATGTCAGGTGGCATTGGAAAGGATCTCCAAGAAGACTTTGATTCCCATTTTGTAAGAGAGCTGATGAATCATTTGGTAACTGTCCTCATGCTTGAGTTCACAAATTTTTTCCACATTTTCTGGAGTTTTTCTGGAGCTATCAGTCAGCCAGAACAATTGTCATCTTGGACAGATACTTGAAATTTATTTGCTACTAAAAAAGCAGTGTTTGACTGAAAAGGGACTAAAAGAATTTAATACTTACAGGACATACTGAAGGCAAAAGTAGTAGGAGGAAACAGTGTATAGCCTATTTAACTAACTTGCGCCTGTTGATGCCAGAACAAGAAAAAAGATAAATGGTAATATTAGCCATTTCCTTATAAGGAAATATTCAGCATTCATTTATTGAACAGTTTTTACTACTATTAGTTGAAATTCATAAAATCTTTCTCTTAAAATATTTTTACAGGAAAATAGATTTCTCAAATTCAGTAAATGTTATTTCTCTTTCCAGTATTGATGAGGTATTTCCTTCCTAACCTTTGCATCCTGGGTATGACAATAACTACATCTGTATCCTGGGTATGACAATAAACTACGTTCAACAGCAAGGCCTCTGATAATACGTTTTTGAAAAAAAATATTACCAGCTATACTTTTTTTTTTTTTTGATTTTTTTTGAAAGAATAGTGTTGCCAGCTATATGTTATTTGAAAAAATTATATTACCAGCTATACATTTTTGAAGAATTATTATTATCAGGTATACATTTTGGAAAAATAATATTACCAGCTGTATGTTTTGGAAAAATAATATTACCAGCTGTATGTTTCGGAAAAATAGTATTACCAGCTATACATTTTTGAAAAAATAATATTACCAGCTCTACATTTTTGAGGAAAAAACAATATTAACAGAAATAGATTTTTGACAAAACAAAAACATTACCAAAAAAAAAAGTTGTCAGCATTAAATGACCCATTGAGGTTGATGTGCCATAAAACAAACCAAACCTTCCTAACCTTTTATTTGAAGTAATGTAGAATGTCAATATAAGTCATTATTGTCTCATCAAGTTACATTGAGCAACAAAAGTTAGTAAATGGTGGAGAGTCTTGATCACCAACATTCTAAGGTAATTGACACCGAAAAGAAGAATATATTTTTACAGACTAAATAACACATGAATAATACATTTTGGAACTTATGAGCTGAAATATGAAATGGTTTTAAGAATAAATTCAATCAAAATTTTCACTATCAAGAAAACAGTATGATCGTGTTTGTTTTATTTTTTTATTTTTTATTTTTTTTGGGAGCCATTGATTATGATTCTGTTTCTTATTTTTCTACCTGGTCTGATCTGAAACCAGTTTTTTATTTTTTTTGATCTATAGAATTATATCAGCATCTGTTAAACAAAAAAACACAGTTACTCTCAAGAACCACCAACCTTCCTTTCTATCCATACTTTGAAACTCAAAACAAGATTTGCTTCAATAATTGAAGCAAGGTGACTTTGAATATCAACTCTGTTTTCATATATTAAGATATTTTTGTAATAATGTCAAGGAAAAAAAAAGACTAGATCTTGATTTCCATATAGGAAATATCACTATTCCCAACCATTTATAATAAAAGCAGACACAAGTATATTTGCAACATTCTTATTGTTTTGTTTTTTTTTTGTTGTTTTTTTCTTATTGCTGTCTGTCTTGAAGTCAAGATCTGTTCGGACAGAATAAATATAAAAAGATCAGAATAAAGACTAATTTGCATTGCTCTTTAATACAGAAGTTAGATATCAGTTCCTCTTTGGTCCAACCCACAAAACAGATTTCTAACTTTGATGTTTTCTTTTTTAATTTTATTTACAACAGGAACTCTTCATTTTGAAATTTTTCCTGCTTTTACATCACTTTCTTTTTAAAACATCATCCACAACTTTTTTATTGTGTTTTATGTTTTTGATCTTTTTCAATTTTTTTTTTCAGTTATTTTTCCACATATGGTATTTTCTTATCCTTTTCCTGCTTATCATTCCTGTCTCCTCCTCCAATTCCTTGTCACTCCTCTCTCCTCCTCCACCTTGTCACTCCTTTCCCTCCTCCTCCTCATTTTTCCTTGTCTTTCTCCTCTTCTTTGTCACTCCTGTCTCCTCCTCCTCTTCTTTGTCACTCCTGTCTCCCCCTCCTCTTCTTTGTCACTCCTGTCTCCCCCTCCTCTTCTTTGTCACTCCTGTCTCCCCTCCTCTTCTTTGTCACTCCTGTCTCCCCCTCCTCTTCTTTGTCACTCCTGTCTCCCCTCCTCTTCTTTGTCACTCCTGTCTCCCCCTCCTCTTCTTTGTCACTCCTGTCTCCCCCTCCTCTTCTTTGTCACTCCTGTTTCCTCCTCCTTGTCACTCCTCCTACATCCTTTTCTTCTTTGTCGCTCCTGTCACCTCCTCCTCCTCTTTGTCGCTCCTGTCACCTCCTCCTCCTCTTTGTCGCTCATGTCTCCTCCTGCTCTTCTTTGTCGCTCCTTCTACATCCTTCTCCTCCTCTCCATTGTTAATCAATTTCTTTCATCACTCCTTTCTCCTATTTTCTATGCCTCCTTTTGTCACACCTTCCTCCTCCTCCTTTCTTTCTATTCTCCACCTAATTCCCTATCTTTTTTAGTCTCTCTTTTTGCCCTCTTCTTCCTTTCTTTTACACTTGTCACTCCATTCTCCTCATGTGTTCTCTCCTTTTTCTGACACTTTCTTTCTTACCTTGCTCATATGACTGTCCTCCCTCCTTCTCTCTTTCACATTTTGTTTCTGTTTTCTATGACACCCTCCTTTCCCTCTTCTTTTATCTTACACCATTTGATCTCATCCTCATCTTCTGTTGTTTCTCCTCCTTTTCATTGTTTTCATTTTATTTTCTCTTTTTTCATCAGTTTTCAAATATTTGTTATCTCCCCCTATATCTCATTACCGACATCAACATCCTTATTACATTTTCATATCTGATCCAGGATTATTATAACTAATGTCTCTCATTGAATTTTATCACCTTCAAGTTAACTTTCAAAAGAACATTTAGCAACAAAACTACTCAAGACTTTAAAACACACAGAGATTACATACCTCAGGCAACACTATTGTAATTCAAAAATAAATAAAAATTAGTTATGATATCGGAAAAGTAACTATGGAAGTTTGGATTATCCCTCATATTTTGGATCATATTCTTAATACATGAAATATATTGTCGAAGTTTGAGGGGGTAAAAACTTGTCCACCAAGCAAAAATGAAATTAAAAGAATAAAGCAGATAAAGTGTAAATCCAAAATGTTTATATTCCAGAAACTGTTGAGGCATTTTCACTTGTCCTTTTTTTAAAGTCCAATTTCTTTTTATGCAAACAGTTTTTGTACAAAAGAGACTAGATAAGACACAGGAAGATTTTTTTAATGACTTTTATTGGACTGTTACATTAACAGTGAACTGCTTGCATTCTGAATGACTACTTGATAAATTGTCTTTTTATTTATACTTCAAATGTGGATGCCATAGTAGATACTAAATGTGCATGAATATTTAACAAAAACTCTCAGCTCAATTTTAAAGTGTGTTGCTTGAAGATTTTAAAATATCTAATAACTTAAAAGCTGAAACTTAATAGATTGATAATTTTTATGTTTCAAATGTGTAATTTTTATCTTTCTCTGTTAAACTTAATTTTAAGTTGGGATATCATATTTTATTAATAATTTTAATTTTGTTTGACACTGATTAATTAAAAGAATATATTCTAATAATATATAATTTGAATCTATTTCATTTGTTCATTTTACCAAATCTTAATTTATAGGGATTTTTATTCACAGACATTACATTTTCAAATATTAACTCCAACAATACTAAATACAGTGAGGATTTCAAAAAAATTTCTAGTAATATAAAAAAAAAAAGGTGTTGAATAGAAAAAAAATTAGTATATTTTCAAAATAATTTGTAGTCATGTTAATAGTAAAGAAATAGTAGTCAAGATAAACCGTTCCAAAACAGAAATAATGGAACTAGAATGAAAGCAGTCATAGCAATACCTTGGTATCCATCATAAAAATAGATGTGGCATTAGTAAATACTAAAACATTTCAAATGCTTTTTTTTATATAGATCAGTTAAAACAAATTTAGGATAGGAAATAAGGAAATCAAACATAGAAAAAGCTGTGCTGTGGGTAATTTCATCCAGCATCACATGTTACTATTAAACCAAAACATTAACCTAAAAACTTGAGTTACGTTCTTAAATAATTTTGCTAGATTAAGACTTTCACAGCATAAATCCACACCAGACACCAAGTATCTTGCAAGGCTTGTTCACTCAGAATTAAGGCCTGATACCTTCAACAGTACTAAATACTGTAAGGATTTCAACATGCATCAGTAAATTATATGTTAATTAAATTTTATTTTTAAGTTAGTATCCACTCAGGAGAGGGATATTGTATCTTATTAATAATTTTAATCAAAAAGATATTTTTTTATTTTGTCTGACACTAATTAACAGAATATATTCTAATAATGTGTCTGCTATAATTTGAATCTATTTAATTTGTTCAATTTATCAAATCTTAATTTATAAGGATTTTTTAAATTTTTATTCACAGACACTACAGTCATATTCTACAAAAGAAAAAAAATACTGGTTCAAGCTCCAATTTAATTCATTTATTCACGACCCACCTTTCCACATAATGTCACTGAAGTTTATTGAGAACTTTTCCAGATGTTGTACATTCTGGATAAGATGATAAACTACATCTGGCAGCAAGGCCTCTAATCAGGAGGTTTTGGGGAGCATGAAACCACCTCGTAATTGCTGGTGTTCCCAGGTCCATTCTGTTCTGGGGTGGTAGCACCTGTTAGGGTCCCAACTATAAGCAAACAGTTAACCTCTCAAACTGGGGTTAAAACGCTATGAAAGTGTAAAAATAGGTTTTAATAGCAGCAATAAATTTTTTCTTAAAAAAATTATTACTAACAATGCAATATTACCACCAATACGTTTTTGAAGAAAAAAGAATCTTGCCAGCAATACATTTTTGGAAAAAATATTACCAGCAATAAAAAATCTTTTCAGCATTAAATAACCCATTGAGGTTGACATGTTGTAAAACAAAACAAACCAAACTATATGTTGTATAGAAAAAACAGACAAGCACAGTTGAGTATATAACCTCTGTGCAACTACACTAAAAGTAAATAAACCAGAGAAACAAGATGACTGAAGTAGTTTTGTTTTTCATCACCACTGGAGACTTTCCTCAGCTACCTGCAGATTGCTGAATTTAATTACAGGTGAGCTTTAAAAATAGGACCCAGATATTATTAATTAATAAAATTTTCTGCTCTTGTACTATAATAATTGTTAAATTTAGTGTATGAAATATCTAAGCCAATGTAACAGTTATTATAAGACATGGAATAATATTAAGAGATAATATTACTCAGTTTGAGAAAATATTTTCTTTACTTGCAATTTTAAAAACAATCTATTAATGGTTATTTTCATTATTGACCAGAGTAATGTTTTTCTCTTGTTATGTTCACAATGTTTCAATAATTGTGACCTCCAGCCTTCTTCAGGAGTCTGTCAATCCAGATAACCTTCAGTGGATTTCAAACTGTGCCCTTTATTCAATCTAGGATTCAGGTATTATTAATGAAATAATAACATTTCCTACTGATGTCCCATAATAATTAAGTTTAGTGCATGTGATGCAGATCTGAATCAATCAACAAGGAAAAAGGTGAGAAAGGTTTTTTAAATATAAATTTTTTTCTTAGCGTGTATGACTTACAGCCCCTGTTTGTAGTTGTTTCCTAAGTTGAAAAGAAATGTGATTTCTTTGCCTGTATATGTGAGAAAAAAGAGATAAGCAAGAAAGTGAAAAGTCTTAGTGTCTTGCTGAGGAAGAATGTACATGTTACAGAAGCTCGATAAGGAAGTGTCACGTAGCTTGGTGAGGAAGTGTAAGTGTCACATAGCTCGGTAAGGAAAATGGATGAATGATTAAGGGAATCTCTTTGAAGTCTCCATCATGCACTGATGCCATATGTTGCTGTTCCTTACACCTTACTCGCTTGTCTCATTTGGTAACTTTGGTTACATACTCTTCAAAGAAATCATGAAGCATCTTTTTTTATTATTCTTGGCAGGAATGCAACCCACATGTTAAAAAATGTTAAATATTTATTTTCAAAAGATTAATTTATCAATTGGAAGGATGCATGGATCCTCCAACTCAGAAACCATTTCTTTGTCATTTGATGATTGACTGTCTTGGGATTTATTTCCGACATTGTTCTACACGTGAAATGCATATGCAAAAGTAATTACTATTTTGAACAGGAAGTAATATTACTAATACTCAAATAATATTTCTGAATTTAAGAAATATATATATATATATATATATTCTCCTTTTTTACTTGTAAATTGTAAAGGAAAAAAATATCTATTCATGAAAATTCTTATCTTTTACATTTAGACTAATATCCTTGTCTTTGTTATGATCACATTTTGGTCATTGTGTTTTCCAACCTTCAAGTGTTTGATGAGTAAGGTTTGTTCTTTATCCCTTCCAACACTTGTTCTGCCATCCATTTACACAAGCACATTAGATAGATTGCTTATTGCTTTCTTCTGTCCCTCTTGCCTTCAATATATTCTGTGAGTATCAAATTCTCCAATCCATCTTACCTCATTTTATACCTTAGAAATTTCAAGTGTCTCTTTCTGATTCTATGTAGGATAGTGGGAAGTTACATATTAATGAATCTGTGGAAATTATGTATTTATTTTATAAATTATTTAATATGTGTATTTTTTTAGAGAAAGTAACAGAGGATGATTATATGAAAAAACACCTAGTGCATATTATAATATAAAAAATTATTAATTAAAAATGGATTCCAACTCAGTTACCTTTTTATTGGCTGAAGGTCATCCAACATGCTATAATGTTAGACTATGTTTGTCTCCACCTTAAAAAATCTAGAATCTGTTCATTTTTTTGCTCTGACAATTGTATTTAAAAAAATGTTTGTTTCTTTTTGGGTTTTTTTACAACCCCCTATTTTCTGTCAATTTTAACTTCTCTTACCAGGGATGTTTTAAAGGACGAAAGGTCTCTAACTGCCCAGTTGTTTATTCTTAGCTAGAGGGAGAAATTCAAACACTGATTAAATTATTCTGTTTTTCATGTTCGTAATTTGTACACTACTTGATACCTCCCTTCTTAAATGTAACATAAATAATTCAAAAGTTAAATTCAGTTTAAAAATAAACTAAGCTATCAGCTTTTTCATCACATTTTCATGTTATTAAGGAAAATGTTATTGAAATGTTTTGAAAGAGAGTAAAAAATGATCTACTCTTCAAGGCCCAATATAGGCATTAGTGTATCTATAATATCCTAACACTTTAAGAAGATGGAAGGGAGGACTGACTGGAACAACACTGGGCGAAATTAATTCCAAAAATAATATAAACATAAAAATATTTTATCATTTTCAGTGGCTTTATCTCATATCCAGGAATTTAATTTTTTTCTTTATTTGCATTATTTACATAATTCAGACTGTCATCCTCATCTTCATCACCATATTCACCACATTTTGGCCATTGTACACTTTGGCTTTCTTCAGGTGATTGAAATTTCAAACTGAACCCTTTATTTTGTCCACCAGAGTAGATT